ACATAATTCTTCTGTGCAGCAATGAGGATAAACCTCAGATCGCGGATCCAATCTGCATCATTGCTACTAACATTTTTCAACACAATTTTCTCTAGGAACATATCAAAATAAACATATGAAAGCAACAACGCAAGCTATTGATCTTACAACATAATTTGCAAAATACTACCAGGACTAAGTTCATGATAAATTTAAGTTCAATTAATCATATACTTAAGAACTCCCACTTAGACAGACATCTCTCTAGTCATCTAAGTGATCACGTGATCCAAATCAACTAAACCATAACCGATCATCACGTGAGATGGAGTAGTTTTCAATGGTGAACATCACTATGTTGATCATATCTACTATATGATTCACGCTTGACCTTTCGGTCTCCGTGCTCCGAGGCCATATCTGCATATGCTAGGCTCGTCAAGTTTAACCTGAGTAATCCGCATGTGCAAAACTGGCTTGCACCCGTTGTAGATGGACGTAGAGCTTATCACACCCAATCATCACGTGGTGTCTGGGCACGACGAACTTTGGCAACGGTGCATACTCAGGGATTCTTGATAATTAGTGAGAGATCATCTTAAAATGTTACCGTCAATCAAAGCAAGAATAAGATGTATAATAGATAAACATCATATGCAATCAAAATATGTGACATGATATGGCCATGATCATCTTGCGCCTTTGATCTCCATCTCCAAAGTAATGTCATGATCTCTATCGTCACCGGCACGACACCATGATCTTCATCATCTGGATCTATATCAATGTGTCGTCACATGGTCGTCTCGCCAACTATTTCTCTTGCAACTATTGCTATCGCATAGCGATAAAGTAAAGCAATTATTTGGCACTTGCATCTTATGCAATAAAGAGACAACCATAGGGCTTCTGCCAGTTGCCGATAACTTCAACAAAACATGATCATCTCATACAACAACTTATATTTTATCACGTCTTGACCATATCACATCACAACATGCCCTGCAAAAACAAGTTAGACGTCCTCTACTTTGTTGTTGTAAATTTTACGTGGCTGCTACGGGCTGAGCAAGAACCGTTCTTACCTACACATCAAAAACCACAACGATAGTTCGTCAAGTTGGTGCTGTTTTAACCTTCGCAAGGACCGGGCGTAGCCACACTCGGTTCAACTAAAGTTGGAGAAATAGACACCCGCTAGTCACCTGTGTGCAAAGCACGACGGTAAAACCAGTCTCGCGTAAGCGTACGCGTAATGTCGGTCCGGGCTGCTTCATCCAACAATACCGCCGAACCAAAGTATGACATGCTGGTAAGCAGTATGACTTGTATCGCCCACAACTCACTTGTGTTCTACTCGTGCATATAACATCAATGCATAAAACCTAGGCTCGGATGCCACTGTTGGGGAACGTAGTAATTTCAAAAAAATTCCTACGCACATGCAAGATCATGGTGATGCATAGCAACGAGAGGGGAGAGTGTTGTCTACGTACCCTCGTAGACCGAAGCGGAAGCGTTGACGCAACGTAGAGGAAGTAGTCGTACGTCTTCCCGGTCCAACCGATCCAAGCACCGTTACTCTGGCACCTCCGAGTTCTTGACACACGTACAACTCAATGACGCACCCCGGGCTCCGATCCAGCAAAGCTTTGGGGAGGAGTTCCGTCAGCACGACGGCGTGGTGACGATCTTGATGTTTAACTGTCGCAGGGCTTCACCTAAGCACCGCTACAATATGACCGAGTTGTAATATCATGGAGGGGGGCACCGCACACGGCTAAGGAACGATCACGAAGATCAACTTGTGTGTCCTGGGGTGCCCCCCTGCCCCCGTATATAAAAGAGTGGAGGAGGGGAGGGCCGGCCCTCTCTATGGCGCGCCCTAGGGGAGTCCTACTCCCACCGGGAGTAGGATTCCCCCTTTCCTAGTCCAACTAGGAGTCCTTCCATGTATTAGGAGTAGGAGTCAAGGAAGGGGAAGAGAGAAGGGAAGGAAGGAGGGGGTGCGGCCCCTCCCCCTAGTCCAATTTGGACTAGGCCATGGGGGGGCGCGCGACCTGCTCTAGGCAGCCCCTCTCTCTTTCCCGTATGGCCCAATAAGGCCCAATACTTCTCCCCGGCGAATTCTCGTAACTCTCCGGTACTCCGATAAATACCTGAATCACTCGGAACCTTTTCAAACTCCGAATATAGTTGTCCAATATATCGATCTTTACGTCTCGACCATTTCAAGACTCCTCGTCATGTCCCGGATCTCATCCGGGACTCCGAACTCCTTCGGTACATCAAAACTCATAAACTCATAATATAACTGTCATCGAAACCTTAAGCGTGCGGACCCTACGGTTCGAGAACAATGTAGACATGACCGAGACACGTCTCCGGTCAATAACCAATAGCGGGACCTGGATGCCCATATTGGTTCCTACATATTCTACGAAGATCTTTATCGGTCAGACCGCATAACAACATACGTTGTTCCCTTTGTCATCGGTATGTTACTTGCCCGAGATTCGATCGTCGGTATCCAATACCTAGTTCAATCTCATTATCGGCAAGTCTCTTTACTCGTTCCGTAATACATCATCTCGCAACTAACTCATTAGTTTCAATGCTTGCAAGGCTTAAGTGATGTGCATTACCGAGAGGGCCCAGAGATACCTCTCCGACATTCGGAGTGACAAATCCTAATCTCGAAATACGCCAACCCAACAAGTACCTTTGGAGACACCTGTAGAGCACCTTTATAATCACCCAGTTACGTTGTGACGTTTGGTAGCACACAAAGTGTTCCTCCGGTAAACGGGAGTTGCATAATCTCATAGTCATAGGAACATGTATAAGTCATGAAGAAAGCAATAGCAACATACTAAACGATCGGGTGCTAAGCTAACGGAATGGGTCATGTCAATCAAATCATTCAACTAATGATGTGATCCCATTAATCAAATAACAACTCTTTGTCCATGGTTAGGAAACATAACCATCTTTGATTAACAAGCTAGTCAAGTAGAGGCATACTAGTGACACTCTGTTTGTCTATATTCACACATGTATTATGTTTCCGGTTAATACAATTCTAGCATGAATGATAAACAATTATCATGAAATAAGGAAATAAATAATAACTTTATTATTGCCTCTAGGGCATATTTCCTTCAAGCTTGATTATTTTTACCCTCTAACCAGATGGTGATTGGGCGATGGTCTGAATGTCTCGGATCCCCATTTACAACTTTGTATGAAGTGAACTTGTTGCACCAGTCTTGATTGCCGACTGCTCTATCCAACCTTTCCTTGATGTATTTGCTCGCTATGTGACTGTGATTTCGCCACGTGAATTTATCTCCTGTGTATCCTAAATCTCTAAGGCCACATTCAGCTAGTGCTAACCTAAATCTCTCCATTGCTGCTTGTGGTCTATCAGGCCCGCCCCTTTTCTCATGGGTATATAGTACTTCGTTAAAATCCCCGGCGCATAGCCACGGTAGTCTCAACTATTGATTCAAGATGTTTAGCAATTTCCAGGTCACATTTTTCCTTTGGCTTACTGATTCCCCATAAATCCCAGTAAACCGCCATATGATTTCGTCTCCCTCAACAACTTCCACATCTATGTGGTATCTTGAGAGGCTACGAAGCTCAATATTGACATCTTTCTTCCACAATAAAGCCAAACCTCTGCTTTTCCCTTCACAACTCCTTGCGATCATATTGCTCATACCTAGCTTCCATTTAAAACTCTCCATTCGCTTCCCGTATAGGTTTGTTTCCGACAGGAAGAGAATGTCGGGGTCCTCCCGCTTCTGTAGATCCAGAGCCCTCTCACTACCGGGCCGTTCCCCAACCCCCGACAGTTCCAGGTCGTTATCCTCATTGGGCCCTGCGGGATTGGTCCGCCAATCCCGCTTTCAAGTCAAGTTTAGGCTCTTCGACCGTACCTGTTCCTTTTTCCTCTCCAGTAGTTGTTTCAGCTATCATCACCTTCATACGCTTTTTCCCTGGTTCTAGTATATCATCTATCTCAATGTAGTCCGTACCACGCTTCCTTGAGTCTGGGATCAACTTGGTTTGTTCCTGGGCGCTCTATGTCCGTTCTTGCCTCTTGATGATTACTTTCTTGCTCTTCTTCCTACTCTCCTGAGCATTGTCCTCACTTGCACATTTTCCATAGTCTCTTTGTGCCACCCCTGCTTCTTTCTCTACCTCCCTGGTTATATCCTTACTTAACAATTCAGCTGCTTCATGTTGTGCATTCTCTCCTTTTGGTTGTCCCATGTCAGTTCCTGCCCTATTCTCACCCTGCTCTTTTGCTGCTCCTTTGTCAACAACCATTGCTTCTTGTTTATTTCCTTCATTATTTCGCTCGTCCGAAAAGGTTTCCATCTTCTCCTTCAGGAGTTTATCCTGTGTTTCTTCATTAAAGTCAAGTCTCTTCCCTTTTACTCGTTGTTCAGTAACTCCATTTCCAATTTTCATGGGGCTGGTAACTTCCTTTTCCTCATTTGCTTTAGCTCTTACCTCTCCTTCTTGGCTTGTCGAGCTTTTCTTCCATGAGATAGCATCACTGCCTTTCTTACTTCCTCGGCCCCCTTCACTATTGTTTGTCCAGAAGCCCGCTCTGTCATTTGAACTCCTACTCTTCTCCTCATCGCCTTTCGTAATTTAAGTGAATCCGAAAGCTTCTTGCTTCGTTTCAAAATAGACTTTTTCTTAGGTTTTGCTGGGCCTGGGCCATCCGAAGAAAGCCCAGTAACGACAGCAAAGAAATCCCCCACGTCCAAGGGCATGGATGAAGATTTCGTGAAGGCCGAGCCTCCTCTTGTAATTTCCCTCCCCGCCGAGAAGACAAAATTTCCCACTCCACTCGAATTAAAACCCTAGCGGCTACACCTTCGTTCCCCGCCGCCTCGTCCACCCGTCGCCGGCGCGCCGCCACTGCCACCGCCAGCGAGATTGCGACCTGAGAGGTCCCGCGTCCTCGTGCTGTTCCCGGCTCTACCTTCGCCGCGGCCACCATGATCTGTGCAAGTAAGCTCCTGCCTCAGCCCCCCATCCTTTATTTTCTTCAAAACCCTAGCTACCCGATCCGTCTTCCCGTGCGCTAATTCGTCTTCCGTTGCCTCTACGTTTCGGCCTGAAGTCTCCGGCGAGGTGCCGGATGAGCCGGTGGTATCAAAGAGGTCGGGGCTCCTCTTTGAGCGGCGGCTCATCGAGCGCTACATTGAGGTCGGTAATACGTCTTAGATCTCGCCTCTCATTTCTTTATCCTGTTTGCGCTAAGATTGCGTGGGTTGCTGTGGCGCAGGACCATGGAAAGTGTCCAGTTACGAAGGAGGAACTCTCCATGGACGACATCGTGCTGGTGAAGACCAACAAGGTGAGGCCTCTCTGGAATTCTAACAAATTTTCGAAATTGCATGCTCCGTAGATTATCCTATGCCATATCCTCCTATGTGGCGGCACTAAACTAATTAGCTAAAAGTAACTTGCCACATCACCCCTCAAATATTCAGGGATTCAATCTTTGAAAACCCCACTGATGAGCTCTATTGTTCACAGGTCGTGAGGCCCAGGCCTCTGCAGGCTGCAAGCATTCCCGGACTCCTTGGAATCTTTCAAAACGTAAGTGGAATTCTGAATATCTAAATTGATTCTGAACTGTTGATAATCATTGTTGTCTTGTTAGTTTACTATAGCGTGTTATAATTATAGGTCAAACACCCACAGTGAATTCATAGTGTGCTTCTAACGTCAAAGATAAACAGTTCTGGGCTTCCTTCAAGCTGCAACACCGTGGAGCTGCTTAAGTCTATTCTTTAGCATCTACAGAGATATAACTTGACTAAGCTAGAGCTAGAAAAATTGCCTGCTCATCAGTTATATTTAATGTGGAATCAGGAACTCTGCTATATATTTGTTGATCCATCCTTTTTTTTGTACGTTTTCATATTTGTCCTACAGTCAGAACGATCACATTTAATAATCCTCAAATTCTGTTGATAATATTTCCCTTGATGTTGAAGTCTGCACTATGGTACTATTTCCCTGACCCCTGCCATACTCTCACGAACTAGTTTATCTCTGATTTTGCAGGAGTGGGATGCTCTTATGCTTTCTAATTTTGCTTTGGAGCAGCAGCTTCACACAGCAAGACAAGAACTTAGTCATGCGTTATACCAGGTCTTTGTTTGACCAATGCAATTATTTCTTCTCAATTCATGCAAAAAATGTTAAGGAAATTTCCCTGCAAGTCAAATAGTAAGGAAGCAATTGTTTTCTTCTTAGAAATCTCAGTCCGTGTTAATTCATAGCAAATGGACCATCAACTTTCGTGGACCGAGGTCCTGCTGGAAGAATCTGAGCTTCCTATAGGTTCATAGTTAGGCTGCTGTGGATTGTTTTTCAACATTTGAGTGACTCCACTCGTTTTACAAATTGGCTGGTGATAGATGCACCAGAATGTCGAATCATTCATTGTTGAAGCCCTGCTTAGAATTGTTCATACTGGAATTGTAGCTTAACTTGAGTTATGCACAAACTGAATATGATTTTAGAAGGCGTTTCAAACCAATGCTTTAATTACTTATGTAGACTCAATTATTTTGAAACTTTTGATGCGATGAGTTCGTTTTGTCGTGGGCCTTCAAATCAACTTGTATCTTACATTCTTAGAACTGAAAACAAGCTAGCAATTATTTACAGCTGGTCTTTTATGCTTGTAGTTGTGCTTATGTGGGTAGAAATGGTTGACCGCTTATGTGGGTAGCACTAGCACACGTGAACATCTTATATGACAAAGTGGTCAAATGTTATTGGCCTTTATGTGCTGACCTGTCTAACTTCACAAGTAACCAGTTATTACCAAATCTTGCCCTCTCTGTAGTCAACTGGTCATCATGATTATCTGTACTGTAATATGACCTTGGAATCTGTCTGCTTTAACCATTGTACCCTCTCTTCTCCTGTGCGCCAATAGTCAAATTGATCTGCACTCTTCAATTTATGTTTTCTTAACTTGAATAAATATTAAACATTCATACCCCACCCATCCCTAAATAGATTTTATTCTAGGATTTGGATAACAATAAAGTAGACATATAGTACCATATTACCCTCGCGCAGCCCCTCATTACTCCATTTATTGCTCTTGGGATGATGTATGCTCCTCTAGTTTGGATTAATAAATGAACTGTTAACAGCTGAAAGGAGAGGTATGCAAATAAAAGACGGTGCAATTAAATCTCGAATTGTAGAATGGCATGTATTATTTAGGAACGAAAATTGGAAGGTGGAATGGCATGTATTCAGTATATTGTGTAAAGCTAATCTAGTTTTTTTTTTAGCATAAATCTTATTTATGAAACTGTGTATTGAGGTTGTCTGGGTTGTCAAGTTTGATCTACGCAAACTTTATTAAGCCAAGCTATTTTTTTCAATGCTTGATTTAATCTAGCAGACTTGTATGTTCATATTTACTTGTTCAAACTCAGTTATAGTCTTCCATGAAAGAACATTACTCATCTGCCCTCCGTTTACTAGTTTGTTTTTGCCCCTTCCAGCATGATGCTGCTTGCCGTGTTATAGCCAGATTAAAGAAGGAAAGAGATGAGTCTAGAGCACTTTTGGCTCTAGCTGAGAGACAGATTCCTGCGTCGATGGCGGGAGTTGCACCTGCAGCTGTCGTTTCCAATGGAAAAAGAGGTTCATACTGCTTGAAGCTGTGCAAGTATATCCTTAGGTATAGTTTTTTAATTTCTCATAGTTAAGCTTTGTTGGATACAGCAATGGAGGATGAAATTGGCCCTGATGGGAAGAAGATACGCCCTGGTATCAATCCTGTCATGATCGATGAACTAACAGAGTGTAATACCATGCTTTCTGCCCAGCGTAAGAAACGACAGGTACGCACCCCACTGCATAGCTACAACAGAAATTAGTTTACAACTATATATTATGTGTTGGTTGTTTTCAAAGTAATGACCTCTCTAAAGAGTTAGCTTGTTCGGTGTTAGCATTATGCAGGGAGTAGCTTTATCTTATAGGGAGTGTAACAGGTGAAAAGGGACCTAGAGTTGAAAATCTGAATTTCATCCCTGCCCACAAGATCAGTGGCGAAGCCATGCCCCCCCACCCAAGGTTGATAAAATTGTAGACACCTATCAAATTTTCATGGAAAACAGCAAAACGTTCTATTTGCCCCCCTCCCCCCTCCCCAAAAGAAAGTCTGGAACCCCATGGCATACTTGGCATATAAGCTATCCCGAACTATGCATCTGATTTTGTTTTAGGGTTTGGATATGATGAACATGAAGAGCACATACGCGCTATTGACATCTGAGACCTCGTCTTGGCATATTTTTCATCATTTCTAATATGAAAATCTTTGTATTGCTCATTTCCTCTGGCCTGAACAAAGGGATTTTTCGTGCCCCAGTTTGAATGTGAAGAATTGTGGAACATTTTGGATCTGAAACGACAAATTACTTGCTTCAGACACAACGAATCAGGAAACTAATTGGTAATCAAGATTATTATTTCTTCATTTGGATCCAAACAAAGCTTCCAGATAAAATGTAAGAGAACATTAGATAAGCGGAGGTGCATGCGGCAGCATCGGTTCTGGCGGGGAGCAAAGCCGCCTTAGGAGTGCACATGTAGGTGTCAGTCACAAGGAGGTGGCACATGTAGGTGTCAGTCACAAGGAGGTGGCACATGTAGGTGTCAGTCACAAGGAGGTGGCACTGGGTAGAGGAGGCCCCCGCCGAATCGAGGGGAGAAGTGTGCCAGGGCCACCTTGTGGTGGAGGACCTTCAGAGAAGGATGTTGGCATCCACATCCGACAGTGATTCTAATTCAGGAGGATGTTTGCATCAACATCAGACAGCCTGATTGTGAGAGGAAGATGGAGGAAGAGAAAAAGTGTGTGTGAGAGAGAGGGCAGGGAAGTGAGGAATAGAGGAGATCTGGGGGTTCTTTTAAGAAAGTGTGTGTGTGTGTGTGTGTGTGTGTGGAAGATCTGCCTGTTTTTTTTTTTGAGAGTACGCCTAGGCGTAAGATCTGCCTGTTTGAAATGCAATTGAATGGTGTGGCTTGGTATTTTCCAAAAGATGTGGATTTGCACATAATATGTTCCCTTATCTTGTATGAATGCACTTTTGTAAAACTAGTTATGACTTGTTGGTGAAATGAGTCAGCAATCCTATCTGTCTTCTCTCAGGTACCACCAAGTTTGGCATCAATTGATGAACTGGAGAGATATACTCAGATCTCTAGTCATCCACTCCACAAGACAAATAAGCCAGGCATTTTGTCTATGGATATCCATCCGTCAAAGGTTAGATTATAATTTGGCTATGTGTTCATCCTATTGAGTTAAACTGCATATGAGGTTACACATTAATTGAAGTGCGCACCATCACATTAATACATTTACTTGTGTCGGGCAATATGATGCGTTATGTGGAGCAGGACTTCACAAATGTGGATTTGTTCATTTACTTTGATGTCAAAGTGATTGAGTTATTCATTTACTGGATTCTTAATCTGGATTAACAGGACATTGTTGCAACTGGGGGTATCGATACGAATGCAGTGCTATTTGATAGGACATCTGGTCAAATCCTGTGCACACTTGCTGGTCACTCCAAGAAGGTCTTTCCCCCAAGTGCTTCTGATGCATCCTTAATTTACTATATTTCATATATTTGTCGGAGTTAAATTGTAACATGTGAACTTTCTAATGACAGATAACCACCTTGAAATTTGTTCCACGGGATGAGCTCGTGGTAACTGGATCAGCAGATAAGGTATGCCACTTTCTGATGCGTCTAATTACTCACAAATATGGTTAAAACAATCAGATGCTGATTTTATTTGCCTCTCGACTGTCATGTTGTAATTATGGGGCTTGTGATTTGTGCATGAAATAGACAATGGCCTTCCTTTTTCATATCTATCCTGACAAGCATGGATTGCTTATTTGCACCTTGTGTTTGCTCGTGTTCAGAGGTAACAAACTAGGTAAAAATATGCCAATACAACCAGGTTTCCAGTTCTAGTGCCAGTAGAATTCATAGTTGTACATGATCATGTTCTGATATAAATTGCAAGAATGATCCAACTCAATCTAAAGACTGAGCTCGGCATGACACTTTGGCTTTGATTTAGGCCAACCGAACCGACTTCATACCTGACTGCTGGGCATGGCTCTTAATCCAAAACAGCTAAGCAGTTTTTAGTCAGCTATTTGGACCCAACCAACACCCATCTAAACAGACTCGTTCAAATATGTAAAAACCCTATTACCGCACTAATCCCACCTTCTACCTGGTGAGATCAATTGCACTAGTGTCTACTTGTAATCATAATTGGAGGTCATCTATCTAGAAAAAAAATTATATAAGGCTTTAGCTCATGCCAGAAACCTTCTGTTAACATATAGGTGTAGCTGCCTGCTTACGCTGGTCAGTAAACTACTACCACTTTTCCAAGTCGTGTAATATTTCATACATGCTCGCTTGTTGATAGCAAGTTGAAAAGTTGCTATGGTTTTAATGAACCTGCTGATGTTACTCCTGCTATATAAATGGATTGCTTTGCATTTGTTGCACTCATAAGAAACACAGGACCTGATCAGTCTTCTGAGCCCCCTCTAGCACGAAGCCTGAGGGTTTGAATTATACGAGCATATCAGTTTTGGTAGTTTAAGTTATTGCTGACCTTTTTGCAAATGCTGCAGACTGTTCGGATTTGGCAAGGGGGTGAGGAGGGAAACTACAGTTGCATCCATACATTGAAAGATCATACCGCCGAGGTTAGTGTTCACTCTTCAGGTGGATCTTGCTTTTGCTAAGCAGATCACACATGCTTGAGTTTATAATTTCCTATCTTCAGAACTATGGTTTAAGGATTGCTGATATTCTTATTACATTCATATACATCATTCCATTTTCTGATATTATATTCTTGGTATGTTATGGCGCTGCTAGAAGGAGGGCGCGAGAGGGCTGGCCGGGGGCCTTTTGCCCACGGCCAGGCAAGAGGGAAGGGATTTCCTTCTTAATTCTTGCTTGATTAGATTGATACATCTCCTCTCTTTATATAGAGAGGTTTACTTGACTCCCAAGCAAGGCTTACTTGACCCCTAAGCAAGCGACCCTTATCTCTAATTAACCCGAAGACTAATGGGCCCATTAGGCCCATTACGTACTCGTAACACTACACCCCACCTGGACATGCAGCTTGTCCTCGAGCTGCAGCCTAACCAACTTATAACCATGACTCGACGCAACACAAACCTAACACCTAAAAACAAGCCTTTTACATCTCGGCTTGTTTTATTATTCTCAACCTGAAATGGACTAGGTCGCTGATGCTTTATTTTGGACCCCTTAACAAAAAGTGGACACCATCCGCACGTCGGACGTGCACGTGTACAGCCACTTGGATCCCATGGACACCACCTGGACAAAAGGAGTGCATGTGTATGACCACCTGGAAGTGGTCGCAAGAGTGACCAGCAGAGGCGCCCTCGCGGCGGCCGGTGGCGGAATGCAGTGGTGCTACGCGGTGCGCTGCTGTCGGTGACACCATGCCTTCTCCCTGCCGGACGACTGTTGGTTCGCACCGCACAGGGAAGAGTGGAGGGCTTGTGATGGAGAATGACGAGGAGGGGTGCGCCCCCCCAACCGCCGATGTCGCAGACTTTGAGGTCGCTGCCCGCGGGGAAAACAGTAGGCCCGCCGCCCTTGGGGGAAACCGCATGCCCAAGATCCCCGACGCAGCGGATGAGATCGAGGTACTCTACGCAGCGAAGGGCAACTTGGAGGAGCGACAGCTGCAAACCACGCATCTCCCGCACACGCCGACGCGCTAGGAGGCCGCGCGCAGCAGCCTGCAACCTCACCGCCGCCGACATGTGGCAGGTAGCGATCCAATAAGGAAGCGGTGACGGCGACGGCGGGGACTGGACTTGGTGGAGCGGGACTCCCGCCGGCGCGGTCGATGCGGGGCCGGAGCTGACCGGCGGTGGCTGCTGCGGCGGAGCGCAGGGCGCGGCGGAGGCCGCCAGGAGCGGCGGCTGCCACTGCAGCCAGGGCTGGGCGGTGGTGGCGATGGATGGCAGCTGCGCTGCAGCTGCAGTGGCCCGGCGAGCGCGGCGAAGGCCGCCTGGTGTGGCGGCTGCCACGGCGGCGCGGAGGCGGCGATGGGAGCCGGCGTCGGCCACTGCGGGGCGGCGGTGGGCGGCGGCGGTAGCTGCAGTTGGGGCTGCAGCGTCCCAGCGAACGCCGCGGAGGCCCCTGGATGTGGCGAGTACCACGGTAGGGCCGGCGGCCCGATGGCGGCGGTCGGCGGCAGGGGCGGCGGCGGCCCGTAGGGGCTGGCCAGGTACAGCCGGATCCCCTGGACGGCTGTGACGAGGTCGTTGAGGACCCCGGTGATCTCCTCCGGGGTGTAGGCGGCGGCCGGTGGTGCGGTGGCGGCGCCAAAGGATGCGACCAGCGGCGCGGACGGGGAGGGCAGCGGCGCGGTGTAGATGGCCAGCGGCGCGGTGGTGACGGTCGGCAGCGGAAGCGACGGGTGGGCGGCGGCGAAGACATGATCGGAACTGAGCTATCTGATACCAAATTGTTATGGCGCTGCTGGAAGGAGGGCGCAAGAGGGCCGGCCAGGGGCCTTTTGCCCACGGCCAGGCAAGAGGGAAGGGATTTCCTTCTTAATTCTTGCTTGATTAGATTGATACATCTCCTCTCTTTATATAGAGGTTTACTTGACTCCCAAGCAAGGCTTACTTGACCCCTAAGCAAGCGACCCTTATCTCTAATTAACCCTAAGACTAATGGGCCCATTAGGCCCATTACGTACTCTAACAGTATCATATTAGATTCGAAAACATTTAGAAACTTGGTAGCAAAGGTCTATTTTCTGTTCTGATTTATTTCTCATGTTGAGGAACAATGGACAACAAAAAAAGAGACAGAAGTTCTACACTATGCTTGAAACAAAAATTCACACATCAGATACCTTTCTTCAAGTTTTCTTGTTCATTGCAACATTAGCTGTTGACCTGTTAGTCTGTTATACAATTAATTCATTTTCTGCTGTTACATCTAAAAACGCCCCTTTTTTTGCGGGCCATTGTTAATAATATTTTCTTTTGTTCTTATCGTTTTGGACTCATTTTTAAAATGTCTCTGATGGTGAACAAAATATGTATTTTTAACTCACCCTTTCTTTAAAAAAATAATTAAAAAATCTCAGGTCGAAGCTGTTACTGTGCATGCGACTCAGAAGTACTTTGTGACCGCTGCCAAGGATAATACTTGGTGCTTCTATGATATTTCAACTGGGTCTTGCCTCTCACAGGTCCACTCACATAGACTACAATCATCATTGTGTGCACTTGCATACATGTGTATTCAGTGCTAAAATCTTTTTTATTAGGTTGGCGAGGCTTCAGGACAAGAGGGATATACATCTGCGTCTTTCCACCCAGATGGTCTTATCCTTGGAACAGGAACTACTGAAGCTGTTGTCAAAATTTGGGATGTTAAGACTCAGGTTGGTACTGCAATTGTTTTCAGGAATAATTTCAGATGGTCATGCATATGTCGGTGCTTGAAATATACTACCCCCGTCCCAAAATATAAGACGTTTTTGCAGTTCAAATTTGAACTGCAACAACGTCTTACATTTGGGACGGAGGTAGTATTTCCTAATGAACATTTTTTTTGTCTGTAGTCCAATGTTGCAAAGTTTGAGGGGCATGCTGGACCTGTCACTGCTATGTCCTTCTCTGAAAATGGTTACTTCCTGGCGGTATGCCTGTTACCATAAAACAATGTGCACAAGTGTTAGATGTCTTTGTTATTCTGATATTTTCACCATCCCCTTGCAGACTGCTGCTCTTGATGGTGTCAAGCTTTGGGATTTAAGGAAATTGAGAAATTTTAGGACTTTCTCGCCATATGATTCGGACACGCCGACAAATTCTGGTAAGGAACTTTGTACGTCACTTCTGTGCTCCATTCAGTAGTAAACTTTAGAACATATAAGTTGTGAATACTGCCTTGTGCATGGCTACAGCTAGTTATGCCACTTCTGTGCTCCATACGTCACTCCTTAGACTCGTCACAATTCCATGTTGACATGTTATTTACATAGTTATCTTGGATTGTGATGGGCATGTTTTTAGTTTATGGCTATGGCTTCAATTCTATTTCTATGTTGCATTGATGCCTTCTCTTCTGTTCTGCAGTGGAATTTGATTTTAGCGGTACCTACCTTGCTGTTGCTGGTTCAGATATAAGGTATGCTCTTGATTTCCTGGCATTTTGGCATTGCTTATGGAGGGGAATCTATTGATAGGTCTAGACTTCCTTGCAAAAATAAAATAAAATCCATCCTTCTTTCAGTTGTGTGTTACAATGTAAAACTAAATATTTACAATTTCCAATCTGTCTTTTACAGGGTTTACCAAGTAGCCAACGTCAAGACGGAATGGAATCTTATCAAGACCTTGCCAGATTTGTCAGGAACAGGTTTGCACTCCTTCCTGGCCCTGATTACGTTGGACATGCATGTAGAGTTGAGGTGAAGTAACTTCATTCTTGTGAATCGTGTCCTTCCACAGGGAAAGTGACTTCTGCGAAGTTTGGCACTGACGCCAAATATATCGCCGTCGGCTCTATGGACCGTAACCTGAGGATATTTGGGCTTCCTGGAGATGATCAAATGGACGATGATGCAAAACCATCGGCCGAGTGAGGAAATGCAGTATATCTGGTTTTTACTTGTTTGATGCTCCCTGCGCTCTCTTTTGGTAGTGGATGGATGGGTTGCGTACGAGGAAAAGCAGGGTCCTCAGGGAGCAATGGCGTGGGCTTCCGCCGATGTAAACAGACCGCGACATTATTGTATTGTAGGCTTCACTAATTTTCTAATGAGGATATAATTTGTTTTGAAGAGGAATACAATCTCAAAGGGCTCGTGCCACGCGCACGCAAGTTTCTTTTACCGTTGTGCCACGAGGCCGTTATTTGATGAATTAATGAGATTTTAATGAACATGCATTATGCACTTTCTACTAAAAGATGTCGGAAATGTTAACGCCCACACGTGTGGGCGTTTGCACATCGCCCACACGCCTCCACCATCATTCATTTTGCCACGTATGAATAGATGACATCAGCAGATTTTTTTTGGTTTTCGGCTTGAAAATGTTGTATCTCCTAAATAAAAAAGCGAACTAAAAATCTGTTTTCATCATTAAATCCGTCTTGACGAGATCTTCAAAACTAGACCCCATGTTAATATGTTTCGACGATTTTTTTTTGCCAGAAGTTGCCATGATGTTTACACTGCAGTTGCCATGTGGCAATTTCAGTTTGTAGATCATGGCAATTTTAATATTTTGATGATAGCAACTTCAGTACTTTGACCATGAAAATTATTTTTTGTATGAATCAGGGAAATTTTACGTGCATGTATCATGGCAATTTTAGTTTATGGTTCATGGCAAGTCTAGTTTCTTAATTCCCCATTTTATAAATGTTAAAATTTAATGTAGAAGAAAATAGCTGAAACATATCATGGCAACTTCAGTGTAAACATCATGGCAATTCATATGCAATAGACATGGCAACTTTTAATCCAATTTTTTTTCATCAAAACATATCAACATGGGATCTAGTTTCGAAGATCTCATCGCGAGGGATTTAATGGTGAAAACGGATTTTCAATCGAATTTTTCGTTTAAGAGATAAAACATTTTAAAAACTGAAAATCCAAAAAGATTCATACATGCATGCATGCGATGACGTGACAATCTGTTTACATTAAAGACGTGTGGTGCGTCTTTATTCCTGCCACACGTGTGACAGTTAGTGTGACCCAAAGATGTTTCTTGTGCCTGAATTTCACAAAATTTGACTGACCGATTGGCTTTCGCCATAGAATTCTTTTACAAGAGCTTAAAGTATGCGCTAACCTTTTATTTTACGTGGCACCATTAACTTTGACTAATCAAACATGACACTCTGACGAACATTATTTCTCTTAAAAACTGGCTTAGATATGAATTTGTATGGTTAGATATGCTTGCACAACAATTCATATTGAGAAAGGCTTGAACCTTTTTTCTTAAAGAGGAGCTAAACACTCTTATATTGGGCAAATCACAACTAAGTTCCTCGTCGAAAAATTCAGCCATCGAAGCATCTTCAAAGATTGTATAAGACCAAACCTTGTTAAATTGCAACAACAGTAGACCGCAGCGTAGACTGAATTGACAATTGTGCCAAGCATATCGGCAGGGGCATCAGACAGGTACCCATCGCTAGAACATTGTTGCTGGTGATCTTACATGCCCATGAAGACACATCGACGAACAGGTCCCAACACAGAGTCCATGAATGCCGACACGGATACAAACTCCCGAGCTTCGGTGCTGGAGCAAAGCGTTACCTAGATGGGACTGAAGCTGGAGGAATTTTATTGGATACAACATCATCGTCACTGTCGGAACAACGTCGCCACGACATCGAATCGAACCTAACAAAACTTGCACACATAATGAAAGACCAAAAACTCCTCCCTTAGAGCATCTCCAGCGGCGCCCCCAACAGACTCTCCTTAGGCGATTTTTCAGCACCGTCGCCCAAAAATCGGCCCAGTCGCACCCCTAGGAGCCCGTTTTTCGCGGTTTGGGCCGAAACTGGCGCCGGCGGACCCAGGCCTAACCCGGCGCGCTGGGGGGCCCGGTGGCGCCGGGGCGAGCGGTTTTGGCGCGAAAGAGCCGCGGGCCCACCGAGTCAGCGACACACGCCTCGTCTTCCCTCAGAACGCCTCGGTTTCCCATGGGTCCGCCATGGCGACGCCGGACAGGGATCCAGCAGGGGCGGCCACGTCAAGAAGGAGAAGGCCGACGACGACGATGAGGATGGTGGCGACGTTGGTGACTTCTTCGCGCTCAGCGACTTCTCCGCCCCTTAGTTGGTTTTTTAATAACTTATTAACGTCGAACATGTCGAATATATATCAAGTTTGCCGAACTTTAGCCAAACTTTGCCGAATTCCTTTTTTTTTAAAAACCCGCGTTTGGGGGCGACCCCTGGGGCCGGCGGCTGGGTGGCCGCTCGCCCCCAGGCGGCGATTTTACGCGCCCCCTGGGGGCCAACGGCTGGAGTTGCTCTTAGCCTCACAAGGCAGAGCGGGAATTGGATGGCGAGGGCGGCGGCTAGTGTTAATAGTGGAGAGGGCCTCCAAAATTCTACATCACACTGCTCCTATACCCGTCTTCCTGGGCTCCTCGCGTCCGAGAGACGTTTCTGGCCATCAGTTGGTCGGTGGCTTGTGTCGGGAGCCTCTCCGGGCCGTCCGATTTGCCCGGACGGTTCGGACCCGAGCGATTTGGCAGGGCTGTCCATAACGGGTGGACCGCTCGGCGCGTAAGGTCCGACGATGATGGGCATACCTTGGGTGGCTTGCCTCGGGAGCCTCTCAGGGGCGATGTGATCCGTCTGATCTGCCACGAGCACGCACGCACCTACACGCTCCCAGCACCACTCCCGCGAGATCTGACACCAGCTCGTTCCGCACTGACCTTGGTGGTCGGCCGTGACTGACCTCGGCCGCACGGATGCGCGTGAGCTCCGGGAGGTGGCGTCCGGGGGTGGGGGCGGGGGAGCGGTGGCAACTCGTCCGCCTCTCCTTCGAGTGCCAGCGGGGGTTGTCGCGCCCGGATAGAAGGACGCCCATGAATCCGTCGGGGATGGCGGCGACGGCGCGAGGTTGCCCGCACCCAGAGCGAGCTTGCCGTCGAGATGCTTGCTGCGGGTAGTCCTCCGCTGTCTGCGTCGGGCCTCCATGCTTGCCTGCGGTTAGTGCCCTCCAGGAGGTGGCATCAGGGGGAGAGAGAGATGGGAGGAGGAAGAAGGAGAAGGGTGGATGACACGTGGGACCCATGCCTCCTCTGCCAGCTCAATTGCCACCACAATTGGTTAATCTATTTTTTGCATTTAGTCCTTGCCACGTCAGCCCGACAAGTGGGCCCAACTTGTCTGTTTTGCTGTTTGCGCGAGCTTATCAGACAATCAGTGCTCTACGTTACAGGTTAGGCGCAGTTCCGGTGGTTTTTTGTGCCCTAACTAGAATCTGGTACTAAGTGGTTACCATAGCCTCAAGTGTGGTGGTTTTGGGTAAATAAATCCACATCTAGAGATAGAGCAGCAGAAATAATAAAGCATGCAATGTGTGGAAAGTAAAGGGTAGAGTTGGAAGATCAAAAGCAATGAAGACACGATGATTTTTGGCGTGGTTCCGATAGGTGGTGCTGTCGTACGTCCACGTTGATGGAGACTTCAACCCACGAAGGGTAACGGTTGCACTAGTCCACGGAGGGCTCCACCCACGAAGGGTCCACGGAGAAGCAACCTTGCCTATTCCATCATGGCCAACCCCCACAAAGGACTTGCCTCAGTTGGGTAGATCTTCACAAAGTAGGCGATCTCCTTGCCCTTAGAAACTCCTTGGTTCAAGTCCACATTCTTGGAGGCTCCCAAGTGACACCTAACCAATCTAGAAGACACCACTCTTCAAAAGGTAATAGACGGAGTTGTTGTTGATGAACTCCTTGCTCTTGTGCTTCAGATGATAGTCTTCCCAACACTCAAACACTCTCTCACAAATTTGGCTTTGGTAGGAGAGGGGATTGAATGGAAAGCAACTTGGGGAAGGCTAGAAATCAAGGTTAAAATGGTTGGATTGGAATCTCTTGATCTCAACACATGAGTATGTGGTTCTCTTCTCAGAAAATGAGTAGTGGAAGTTGTTGTTCGTTCTGATGGTTCTCTTGGAGAGTAGGTGGTGGTGGAGGGGTATAAATAGGCAGCACGAAAAATCCAATCGTTACAAGTCTTTGACCCAACTTGGTGACACCGACATGAAAATCTCTGTGAGACCGACTAGTGCAACAGAGTTGACCGTTAGGCTTTTCGGTGAGATTGATCATACCAACTCGGTGGGACCGAAGTGCTATGGCTAGGGCAAGACCTCATTTTGGAAATTCTGATTGATTCATCTTGGTGATTCTGAAATGAAGCAACTTCATTACAGAAACTTTGTGAGGCCATCTCGGTGAGACCAAGATCCATTTCGGTTGCATCGAAGTATTAGGGTTTGGCATATGGCAGTGTATGGGATCATTTCAGTGGGTCCGGATGGGAATGTTTCAGTGGGATCGAGATGGATATGTAGGGTTTTGAACAGGATGGAAGTGGAGAAATATTTGAGGGTTTTGGAGCAATATCACTAAGCACTTGAGCAATTGAGTCATGATCAAACCTCACACCCTTTTAATAGTATTGGCTTTCCTATGGACTCAGTGTGATCTTGAATCACTTAACCAAAAATGTAGAGTCTTGTTGCTTTGCCAATCCTTGCCCTTAGCATTTTGAAGGGGTCCACATTCACTAGTCCTTGCCATGCCACTGTTGAACTTATCTGAAATATAGTAGATAAATGTGTTAGTCCAACAATATGTATGTTGACATTAATTACCAAAACCACCAAGGGAGCAAATGTGCTTTCAACCAAGGAAGTAGCTGCGGCTGTGCCGATGCGTTGTCGCACCATGCATTTGCACAGACTTATCGACAAGCATGGCACACTTAACCCAATTGATTCTCAAGCAAATTGCTTGTTTGTTGATGTTGTGCTTGTGGGAGTTGGCCCAATAGATGCCAGCAATGCAATATGTGGTGGTTGGT